ATTAAAATAAATGAAGGTTACGATGATGAACTAGGCGTGCTCCAACATTCCGGCCCCATTGAAGGACCTGCGATCTTCAATCTATATTTGTTGGAAGCATTGCCAATTTTTGTATGGCGCGTCGACAGACTCCGGACGATGTTTTAACGTCTGCAACACGCACTTTACCGTCTGCGCCAACTACGGTTTTTACTACCCTTCCCAATAGCCATTTTTGGGGCGGAAAATTGTCGTCGTGCACCAGCACGAGGGTGCCAACTTCGAGGTTGGGTTGCGGCTTGTCCCATTTGGTTCTCGCCTGGAGATTGAGAATATGGTCCCGCTGGAAGGCGGACCAAAATCGAGCCTTCAGAGACGAGAGCCGCTGCCAACGATCTAAATAGCATAGCTTCTCGGTTGAAACGTGGGCTTCGGGCACGGCCATGAGAGAATCTCCTATTAAGAGATGGGCTGGGGTTATTGCCTCGGCGTCGTTGGGGTCGTCTGTTGCTCCTACGAGTGGGCGGGAATTCATTATTGCCTCCACGTCGACCAAGACGGTGGCCAACTCCTCGAAGGTAAGGGTAGTGTCGCCGACGACGCGCGTAAGCAGATGTTTGGCGCTCTTGACGGCGGCCTCCCATAGCCCGCCAAAGTGAGGTGCGCGTGGGGGGATGAAGGCGAATTCCATGCCTCGCTCGGCTGCGAACGCGCCAATTTCGCTCCGTTTGTCGTCGTCCTGGAGTTGCTTGGCGAGATCTCGAAGTCGTGCGTTGGCGCCCACGAAGTTCGTTGCGTTGTCGCAGTATAGTTTCTGAGGAACTCCGCGACGTCCGACGAACCTTTTGAGAACATATAAAAAAGCATTAGTTGATAAATCAGAGAGAGGCTCTACATGTACAGCCTTTGAATTGAAACAAATAAAAATGGCAACGTAAGATTTGTAAGGCGGTCGGCCTCTTATTTTAAGGGTGGTGTATATAGGCCCACAAAAATCAACTCCGAAAATAAGAAAGGGTCTAACTGATCTCAATCTATCTGGTCGCAAGTCACCCATTATTTGGC